TGCCTTGGTTGGCAGAGAGACCATAGTAGTGGATGGAGTAGGAGGGATTGAATTCGCAGCCAAGCTGGCACAGCTCATAAGCCTGGCCCATTTTGTGTTGTGCTTTGGCGAAACCCAGGTAGGCTGCCTTTTCAATGTACATCATTGAGGTCTGGGGGCTGTTCGGCAGCATCGAATCCGGAATATAGATGTCGGGCAGCTCTCGGCCAATGAGCATGCCGTAGACGAAGGCGCCCTGAGGGGAGTCCTCGTCAGCATTGTCGGCAGCGGCTCTGATGCGGTCCAGACCAGTCTGGTAGTCCTTGGCCTCACCAAGCTGGCCTAGAAGACTCATCATGCCCAGACGGTAGAGGGAAGCGGAATCCTGCTGGGCCATTCCCCGGTAGTAATGCTCCTTGGCCTTTGATGTGTCGTTGGACTGCTCGAAGAGCATACCGATGCGGTACTCTGAGCGTGGGTGGCCGAGCTCTGCAGCCCGTCTGTAGCCATTGTAGGCTTCTCTGCGGTCGATGCGGTTGCCGAATTTTCCAAACTCGATCCATTTCGATCGGATGTAGAGGGCCTGGGGGTGTTCCTGCTCGGCAAGGTATGTGATGATGTTGAGAGCATCAACCCTCAGCTCATGCTCGGTGCGGGGTGTCGAAGGTCGGGGGTTGTCCCGGTTTTCACGGGCTGCGGCCTCTGAAACGATCTCAACCCAGTTGAGGACGTCTCGGGCCCATGTGATTTGCATCGACACATTCTGGGAGCCCAGGACGTGCTTGCGAGCCTTCCAGAGAATGTCCTCCTTTTCTTCGTCAGAGGGGGGGATGGTGTCGCCTTTGACCTTGGGGAAGGGGGAGAAGGAAGGGCCCAGAGACCCCGCGTGGTCAGGCAGATCCATGATGCCGGTGTATGCTCTGATGCCGCCTGTTTCTGTTTGGCTCTGTGGGGGAGCGGCGGCGGACGTGGTGTTGGTGCTCTTTCCGCCGTATGTTTGTGGCTGGGCTGCCACAGGTGGCTGCTGGGGCTGATGTGGTTGTTTTGGTGGTCGTTGCGGTGGTTGCTGTGACTGCTGCTGCTGGGGTTGGGAGCCCTCTTGCGATTGCCCGATGAAGGTCGAGAGGGAAGGGTCTCGGGCGTGGCGCGCTTTCGAATCGCCGGTGGTGGTCTTGGGTTCTTCTCTGGCTTCAAGTTCCATGCGCTGAAGGTCGTCTTGCATGTTCTGGGGGACCTGGGGGGTCACTCTGTGCGCAGGAAGAACAGAATCCGTCAGCAAGGGACGCCCCACCACAGTATCATTTCCAGTGAGAGCCGCGTGCGGGCGTGTGTGGAGAGCGAGACATGGATTGCTTGTGAGCAAGTCCCGACGGCCAACCGGTCGCTTTTACGAGGCAGGAGAAACGGGGACAGGGAGACAGGGAGCGGCAAGGAGATTTAAACCAAACAGCGAGAGGAAGACATACCTTTGGGGCGAGGGAGCTACAACCTCAGGCATGGAATAGTCGTCCCATCCGCCAGGGACAAAAGTAGCACCCAGCTCGGGTGCACGTTGGTGAGCCATATCGGTTGGTGGATGCGGGGCTTGGCCGTCTGCACAAGGGAGAAAAGGAGTCGAAGAGTCAGCAATGTGGCTTGGAAGGCAAAGCAGCAGGCAGGTAATGGCAGAGCCCAGCAACAACGGCTGCTCGTATTATTGGCACAGTCCAATCAGTCTGAGCGGCGCACGTTACTCTCCAGGTGGGAGTGGGCTTGGATTTGGAGGGGGTGCTGACAGCAGCCAGACCGACGGCCAGGGCCAGTCAAAGTGTGTAAGGCAGGTAAGATGATGCGATTGATTTGATGCGATGCAGGCAGCCCAGCGCGGTGCGGCAGCTTCCAGGCGCTGGCCAGGGCACTGCTTAGGTGCTCCAGTGGGAGGGGTACAGCAGTTGAGGTGCCCGGGTAGCTAGCGCCCAGTGGACAGTACAGCAGCAACCACCACAGCGACTGGCCGCGATGCCCCTCCAGCTGAACCGAAACCGAAGACACAATGACAGCGAGGCGCTTGCCCCTTGCGCGCCCGCCCACGAAAGGCTTCCGCAGGCAGCGCGCAGGCCATTGATGCCCAGACCCGCGCGTCGGAGACTGAAGGGGGGTGTCGGGCTGGTGGGTAAGGCCATGCATCAGGGCTCCTCGCTCACTTGAGCACGCACCGCACGGTATTAGTCAAGACAGCGCTGGTGGATGACGATACCAAGCACTTCAGCACGCCCCTTCGGTGGGAGCCGCTAACTTCTAGGTAGGCAGGTGCTCCGTAGAAAACCAAGCAGCGAAATGTACAGTGCAGCAAATGCACATACGTACCAATGAGCAGGCAGTTCCAGCACGACAAGGGTAGGCTGTCTTGCAAGAGCCGAGCGTCGCAGCGTGGCAGGTGAGGTGTAGCGGTCGATGGAAAGGCCCAGAAGTGGTAATGCGAAGATCCTATCTGAGGGACCGGATGCTGTCATACACCTTCTCGAGGTGTGGCTGGTGTGGTGCAGCAAGACGCGCAGGATAAGAGAGAAACGTGGGGACGGGGTAGGCAAGGAAACGTCTAGTGCGTAGGACTTTCGTCACGCAGGCACAGCAGGGTGCTTTCTAACTTCGGCAGTCTGGCCAGCATTGGCTCTGCAGGCGGTGCTGCACTAGACAAGGAGGTAGGGGTGACAGAAGCAAAAGAACGCGAAAGAGATTGCGACTTCTTTGCTTCTTTGCACCTAGGTATGTAATTATAGCAAAGCCCGCTCGTTGCTAACGAAGTCGGCAGGCAGCACACTGGTGCTGGGGGGGTGGGTTGGGCCCGGCATCTTCCACATGCCAGCAGGAGATGACCGTTAGAAAGGCAAATTCGGGAGACGCCCACGAAGTGCTGCGCCATCGCTCTAACGCGTGCGATAATGCGTCGTCCTGTGGCTTGGAGGACCGGCCTTTCCAATCAAGACAGCCGAAGCCAGAATCCCAGCAATAATGGATGTAGGTAGCGAGCCCCGCTCGGTGTGTTCGTCTCGACTAAGCACCAGTGACGTGCTATTTTAGAATTTGGGTCTTCTCCAGAGGCCACGGCCGGCCTGGAGTGGGTGCGTGTTGTGCATGGATAGGTAGGTAGGTAATATGATGTACGGAACCCGAGCCGCTGCGATGTGATGTGATGGCGAAAGAGGGAACAGGGAGCAGAATGGGTGGTTAGAAAGAGGGGAAGAAGGAAATTATGAAACTCGTCGCTTCTGTGACACTCACCTGGTACTTGGTTAAGCTCTGTTGCGTCCTTGCGACCAGTTTGGCCTCTGAGGTGAAGATGTCCAGACCGTAACGACTTCGGCCAAACCGCTCTGTTCTGTGTGGCTTCAATGTTACTGAGCGATCAGCTCGGTAGCTAGCAGTAGGCCGAAGGCTTATTAGTGGGGCCGTTGGAGGTGGTGCGCCGTTTGACGCCCCAAAGCGGATGTCCTGGAGGAATATGTACAGTTGGCAATAAGTGGGTGGAAGATTGATCAAGATTGGAAGTAAGAAGCGGACAGCAGGCGAAGATAAATCTTTCGCGCCGGTGTGCAGCGTAAACGAGTGGCCACCCGTTAATCGATAATAATAGCGCGTACAGCCCAACACGATTCCAAAGGCTCGACGGGCGTCGTGGGCATCTGCCACCACCTCTCTCGTGGCTCTGCTCTACCTGGGTCGCTGGTTAGTAGGGGACCAGCCCATTCTAGGGCCCAGCTGGGGTTGGCTGCACTGCCCAGAAGTCTCCGAATCAGCCTAATTACGGGGTGTCCCCGTTTGCAGTAATTTCCAATGCACAGCGATCCTACTCATTACCAGCGAACGATGGATCCCGAATTGCTGATCCGAGCCTCCAACAAGCTGGACCCTTATATTCACATGTATCAGCATCGCGGCATGGAGGTGACAACGAATACGTTGAAATACGCGCTACTGTCAGTCCCGACTGTCTTTTAATAGAAAATGTAGCCAGCGGGCAATTAGGGCAGCATGGTCCAGAGCTCCCTCGAATAATCCAAAGTCGTATCTTTGCCATGATTTTAATGGCATAGTGCTTCGAAAAGGATTCCCATTGCAACGCACAGGGGTTTAAAACCGCCCTTGCAGTATACCTACAGCAGCTTCCCAACTTTGATATATAACCCCCACGACTTCATGGTTTAATAGACGTAAGCACACCCAAGGCCCAAGTGCTAAAACAGGCTCGTGAAAAAGGACCAGCTGGCGAAATGACCTTCCAAGTTCGCCTCCTCCTAGATGCATACCAAATCAGCCCCAGCTGGCTCGGACTGCAGGAGCTGGAAATTTAGTGCCAGCCTAAGCGTCAGATGACTTCCCAGCTTGCTGCAGTCCAAATACTGGGTATCGCTCAAACGAGCATTTCCCAATGGGCACTTCTGGGCAATCGAATTGGAATTTGACAGATGAACAAGGCCGAATACTGACATCTTACATGACCTATAACGAACGACGGGTAATCTTTCTATCCAATAATCTGACAACAAGTGTCCATTCTAACAATATGAAATGCAATATCCAGAGACAATTAGGGTGAAAAAATTATGATCAAGTCAAACTTCGGTGAAAATAATCTTGTTGATTGGTTTATTGAGCAGCAAACATGCGAAACTGCCAAAGCGTAGCCCCGCGTCAGTGCACTTGGACGTCCAGATCTTATCTTGGCTCGGCCCGGAGCAACGATACTCCTAAATCCTAGGCGGGAGCAACTGCGTCAGCAACCTCCAGCCTAGCACAAGCTACATCACACAGGTCTTATCACGAAAGCAGACCCATGACCATTCCGCAACCCACGACGCCAACAACCACCATTCGACCAGCATAGCAGCGTTCCCGACCGCCTGCACCTCTACAACCCGCATCTCATCCCCGGCCACATCCAATTCTCCAAGAACCCTCCCTCTCATACCGCCAACGGCGCCATCTCAGCCGTCACAATGGCCGAACGAAGCCTCACCCAGGTCCTGACCCAGCTCAAAAAGTCACCCTCCATGCCCTACGCCGACGCAAACGCCCTCCTCTCCAAGGCCAAGCTCGCCCTCCTCAGCCTCAAGGCCCTCACCCCCTCGCCCACCACCCCCCAGACCGTCCTCGCCCTCGCCCGCGAGACCTACGAACAGGGCGCCCTCTTCGCCATCCGCGCCCGCAACCCGGACGCCTTCACCCGCTACGTCCAGCAGCTCCAGCCCTACTACGAGCTCCCCTCCGCGCGGCTGGCCCCCCAGGTCGCCGAGCGGAACAAGGTCACGGGGCTCAGCCTGCTCCTCCTCCTCACCCAGGGCCGCTACGCCGAGTTCCACTCGGAGCTCGAGAGCCTCGCCAACCGCGAGGGCGGCGGCGGCGACGTCGAGGGAGACCGGTACCTGGGGTACCCCATCCGCCTGGAGCGGTGGCTCATGGAGGGCAGCTACGACCGGGTGTGGAGGGCCATGAAGAGCAGCGAGGTGCCGTGTGACGAGTACAGCGTCTTCTCAGAGGTATGGCTTAAAAAACAACACTTACCCTTTCCCTCTTCAAAACGCCGAATATCCTGCATGGGTGCCGGGAAGAGTATATTTTTTGCGTTACTGACTCACGACTACAGATCCTCAAGAACCAAATCCGCTCCGAGATCGCCAGCAGCAGCGAGCGCGCCTACCCCAGTCTCCCCATCAGCTCCACGAAATCTCTCCTCTTCCTCGACTCCGAGGGCGACGTCATCTCCTTCGCGAGGCATCGCGGCTGGGCCGTCAAGGACGGCCACATCTACTTCCCCGATAGCTCCGAGGGCGGTGAGGAGGGATCCCAGAAGGAGGTCAGCCAGATGGTGATAGAGAATGCGCTCGGCTACGCCCGCGAGCTGGAGACGATCGTGTAAATAAATATAGAAATAAAAGAAACAGACAGGCCTGATGATTCGGAGGGGGAGAAGAGACAAAAGGGGCAGCTTATGATTATTGTAAACAACCTCTAATTCGGAAAGCTGGGATAGATCAAATATTAGATACTTCATCAGCCCTCTTGGGACGCAATGTCCTATATCAATAATCCCGGTTGAACGTTTCCACAAGATAAAATAAATGGACACAAATTTTAAGCTCTCTCACTTGAAACCGCAAGGTCGAGAAACTACAACTTCTAAACCCTAAAATTTTATTTTCAACATATGGCTGGTCTCCCCCGTCGCCCATGTTGCATCGTTGAAAAAGTTCCGATCCACGAATTATCTAGCCATGGCGTAACTCCTTTATCGTCATCATTACAGTTCTACGCAAACAACTTCAATCCACTGCCGTGCTTGCCAATCTCGCAAACTTCACAAACCCTACACACCGTACCCCTGAACTTAGAATGATACTTGGATCCGTCGAATGAGCATTCCTCAAAGGAGGTGCCGCTGTAGATGGGAGTGTGGCTGGCTGCGCAGATCTCGAACTCAGCGAACTGATCAAACTCGATGTCAATTGAGTCATTGGGGTTGCGCTCGCACTGAGCCTTCGTCTTCTTGGCCTGCAGACATTTTGTTAGTTAAATTGGCGCTACATAGACATAGGGTGGAAATTCAACTTACGTTTTCGACGATCTTGCTAGCTCCGCCATTGGCAATGATACGGTTGGCAAAGCTGAGTGCTGAGTTGTAGTTCTTGTTCTTCACTGCGAACTGCATCGCGTTCAGCAATGCCAGCTGGCGGTGAGGAACCTCGATCTTAGGGATAGTGAAGTATGCGCCAAGCTCGAGACTTCGTCTGAGCTTTTCAGGGTCTTTGGCCAGGGCATCCGGTCCACCCAGTTGTCTTCTGGCAAGCTCGATGCTCATTGCAACGACATACTCGCTAGCAGATGTGATAAGCTTCTTAGCTTCAGAGACCTCATCTTCATTTGACACCGCATTGACAAGGATAGCATGCAAGATCCCCTTGAAGTATCCAATACCGTCTTCAAGTCTGTTGGCCTTCATCGAGTCATAGCCCTTCTGAAGGTCATTCGAGGCAAGGTGTTCCAGGTCACGGGGGATAAGTGGCAGAACCTGTCGGGGGTCGGTTTCATCCAAAGTTCGTCGAATATAGTTAACAAGAGGAGGAAGACCGGCGGATGCAGGAAGGAAGGACCTCGAAGCTTGGAAGATCTCCAAAAATCGTGGCTTGAGAGGTGCAAAGTTGACGGCACCAACCTGTCGGTTGAGAAGTAGCATTGCAGTCTCAAAGGAGCCGCCAGCAATGTGATCGGCAGCCAAGGGAGAGTTGCGGGCCCAGAGATCAGCTTCACTGCTGCCTGCTCCTCCAGCTTCCGAGCTCTCAACGTTGACAAAGTCGCTCTCGACCTCAGGAACATCATCATCACCCAAGTCCCAACCAGTAGCATCTTCTTCATCATCCTCGATGAGACCGTTTCGCTTGCTTGACTCATCAACATCCATTGCGTCATCCAATAAGTTAGTTGCAGTGTTATCCTCAAGAGAGAGGCCTTCAACTTGGCCAAGCAAGGCCTTCTCGAAGAATGATTGAGATCCGGCCTTTGTGGGCCAGTTGCTCTTGAAAGTTGGCACCACGGGCTGAGCGGGAGTCAACGGCTTGCCAAGAGTGGGTAGGGTAATTTGGTCTTCAGTCAGACCAGTTGCCTCAAGAATTGCCTCGCACTCCTCCTCGAGACCATGAGATTTCGCCGTCATATATGCGAGAGGATCTGTTTTCAGTTAGTATTTTCTTCAAATCGCTCCTTCAAAAGAGCTCGCAATACTTACAGAGATCGATCTCCTTAAACATTTGAATGCGGTCCTCGACCTCGCCAAGATAGAGAGCGTTTTGGAAACGCGATGTGAAGTCTCCACGGTGCTCAGCAATCTTACCCATCCGGGCCAGCTTAGAATGATCACCCGTCGTCAAGTAAAGGAAAGAAAGCTTATCGAACTGCTTAAGCTTCTGATAGCTCATCTCAACGATCTGGTGGTTTCCATGTGCGAGAGCCTCTGCGCCAAGCCTAGACCAGAATTTGGGTCGTTCAAGCTCCTTGGCCATTTCTACAGCAACATCGATATTGCCGCACTCAATTGCAAGATCGAATCGAGTCGTAGGATCCTGAACAAACTGGAGGGCGACTTCGGGGTAGCCCTTCTTCTGAAGGTATGAAATGATTGATTGACCGACAAGACTTGAGTTTTGAATGATATGAAGCATCTCCTCATAGTTTCGCTTGACAAGAGCAAGCTTGAAGCGGTATTCGGTAGGATCAATCTGGAGGATACGAGGCTTCGCAGAGCGATCCAGGCAATAGACATTGCGACCCTTCACACGAACCAGGTAGACGGTCTGGTCAAGGGTACGAACGATGCCGTTATCTCCGTTCAGTAGAGTATATTTAACATGGTTCAGGGTGGAGTAAAGGAGAACGCCAGCGTCGTCCCAGGTGGCACTCTTGATACGGATGGTCTCGTGCAGGCTGCTAACCTGCTCAAGAGTCTTGGTGACAATAGTCACATTGTGCTTGCTGAGGAAAGCAGCATAGAGTCCATCGTTTGACCAGATGACATACTTAACACCAGTAACGGCGAGTTCAGCGGTGGTCTTCTTCTGTTGGATGTCATACAGATGGACAGCAGTAGGGGTGATGATGAGAAGATTGCCTGTGCCGCCAAAGTAAATGTCGGTGGTGCCAGCAGGGGGCTTGAAAGAGCGAGTGATGTTGTTAGACAGGTCCTTGATGTCAATAACCTGGGTATTAGAGTTGAGCACAGCGAATCGGTTTCTGGCAACGAAAATGGCGGAAGTGCCAGAACCACGCTTAGACTCGGTTGGCTCAATAGCACCGGATCCATCCTTGGGCAAGCTTAGGAGCTCATATGAGCCACCATCGACAGGCGAGGCCACCAAAACTGATCTCTCAGCAGGGTTGTATGAAAGTGTGCGAGGGGTCACCCAGGGGCTGCCCAGCTTCTTCAAGGAGAGGAGGGTGGGGCTCTCCACATTCTTCTGGAAGTCGTAGGCCTTCACAGTCTTCTCTTTGGTGACGTAGAACAGCTGGTTCTGGTGAATTGCTGAGGCTGGGCGTTCTCGCTCGAGCTTGAAGACCATGACACCGTTGTCATGGCCGGCGGCGAACAGGTTGATCTCAGGATGCGCGGCAATCACCCAAAATCGATCACTCTCTCTCTTAAATGACTGTACAGCAGTACGTTTGTTGAGATCCCATACTCGAATCGTCTTATCCTCGCCTGCAGAGAGGATCAAGTCCTGGTGGGGATGGAACAAACATCCCTCAGCATTCTGGAAGTGCCCTCTGCAAGTGTCAACCTCCCATGCCTTGGTCTCGCTCATGCGCCACAGCTTGACGAGGCGATCGTCACCGGCGGAAACGATAAGGGGCATGGTGGGATGGAATGCAACCCAGTTCACACCACGATCATGACCTTCCAACACAAATTTTACTACCGCATCGGTGTTTCCAAACATGTCCGTCTGGTTCTGGTTGCCTCGTCCCATTTGCTCATCGAAGCTCATAGATGTCGGTGCGGAATGTTTCTTTCGGAGACCGGAGATATCCCAAACGCGGACGGATTGATCGAGGGAAGCGGAGACGACAAGATCTTCCTTGGGGTGGAATTGAGCACACATGGCGTAGTGATTGTGGCCCGTCATTGTGCAGACTATAAATGTTAGTCGATAACGAACCTCACATTCTCCTGGAGCTCGGGTCCAACATACTCAGGGATCGATTTTGCCAGTTCCATATCCGAATTGTCTGGTCATCAGAGGCGGACAGAATCCAGGGAAGTTCATCGTGGAAGAAAACGGTTCGGATGTAGTCAAGATGGCCGTTGAGGGTGAACAAGCAGCGTCTCGTTTGGTAAGACCAGACCTTGATCTTGTAATCGTCGCCACCAGATACGAACAGGGGCTGTGTCTTATGAAAGTCGATTCCACGGACTGGTCCATCGTGCTCCTCGAATCGGTCGATTAGGGTACCCATACGGTAGTCCCAAAGCTGGATGGTGGATGAATGAAGCGATACAAGAATCCATGGTCTGAAGGAGGGGGCAAGGGTCAGCTCCAAGCACATTCATACAGCTCCAACAAAGGCACCTACCGCTTAGGATGGAAGGCAATGCCTTTTGCTCTCGAGGACTTGGACTCAAACTGCAAAAGGGGGTTAGTCGGAGAGCTATAGGGATAGCAGGCAGCTCTGCGTACCTTGGTCAACATTCCAGGGGAGGACTGCATTTTGGCGGGGAGGTGAAGCCGCAGCTTCGAACATCAAAGGGAACAAGCGGCGCAAATCCAAAAACGAGGAGGTTTGCTACGCCGACCAAGCCGCCGTGTGTCAAGGAGGTTGAGAATTGGCGAGCAAGGCTGCCTGGAATACGTCGTCAGATGCAGGCGGGCCGACTCTGAATAGGTCAATTGCGCATCGTGTCCATCTTCAATTGTGGGAATCGCAGGAGACCGGCCACCTGGCAGGCACAAGGAACCGCATCATCGTTGTGCCGATGCGTCCACCCAATCTCACCGCCCAGCACCAGCAGCCGTTCGCTCGACCCCACCATCAGCGGCCCCCCTTTTCTTGCTAGGGCGGAGAGCTCCTGCCAGGTGTTAAGATACTTGAGGTGGCACCTGCCGCACGTCACAAACCGCCATTCCTCATTGGGGCACGGGCTTCTAAGTGCTAACTGTCCAGATGCAGGACCCTGCTTGAGTCTTTGTTGAGACTCGGCCAGACATCGTAGCCTCGTAGCTTTGATTATTCTCGCATCTGTCCAAACGCCAAGCTCCCTCTCGTATGAATGCGCGAATCCTAGAGCAACGGCAAACGACTGCGGCTGGGTGAAGTGCTAACAGAACACGCTGCTCTGGCCGGAGCTTGCTGGAGCCTGGTCCAGTTGCCCGCCTTGCCATTCCCTACCGATTGCATTGGCCAGGTCAATTCGATTCCCTGCATGACGTCCAGCTTTTGCACAATGTTGCGTTTCGCCCAATTGCCATGGAGTCTCTTCGGAGTTCTCATCGCCGCCCTTCAGGCAAATGCGGCCCCGAGTGTGAATATTGGCATGAGGGCATCGTTTCCCGCGGGGCCGTATTTGCTTGAGCTGCTGTAAGGCCCTCCATAAAACTCAATTGGCTCAAAGTCGAATAGGCAGGCATCTAACTCTCTTTCCAAACAGTGAGACCTCTGCCGGGGAAAATGCAACCTCCTACTTTCCATTGCTCGACCGAATCGCGAGCGGCCATTTCGCTACACAATCCACTGAGGCTGAACTCTATGCGTCATTCCTCGATGTGCTGCGGGACGAGGGTCATATTAGTTCACCCGAGGCACTGTCCACATTCAATCTTGCGTTGTCGTTGCGAACGGCCGCACCTCGAATCGAGGCTCATTATCAATACTACGACACTGCCGTGGAGCCCAAGTCTGAAGCAAAGGAAAAATGCCCCATCTGGGTCTTAATTGGCACTGAGGTGTACTGTGATCCTTCTTTGGGACATCCCTCAGGAAACGTGCTTTCTATTGACAGTATAGAACTGCCTTTTGACCGAGCAACTGGCAATGGGAAAGATGCAATCCTTTACGCCGACCCTGCCTCTCCAGCATTTGGGAAGTTCCACGACGCTCTGTCTCATGGCGCTCGCCAAGGGAAATATAGATACAAGCTACGCTATCGAAGGGGTGAAGGCCAAGCTTCATCCCACCTGCCAGTCGGCGGCTACGGTGTTGAGCTTGCCTTAAAGCGAACTGATTATGTCGTGATTGATGACCGCGAGGCTGGGCAGGCCGCATCCCAACAGCTCCTCAAAGCTGAGATTGCTCTGGATGACGAAGAAGAGGTCGCTGACCTGAAACCCTTGTCTACATCCGAATTAGCTTCGCTGGGTTTGAAGGCCGCAAGCTTCATTCTCCAAAGTGACTCGCCATTTGACAGTCTAGTCAAAGTCACCCAAGATTTACCAAAGTTTTCGGCCTCCATTGCAGGATACGAGATATCTGAGGAGTTCATGAAAGAATATGAGCAGAACAGTGCTCCCAACGGCCTCAACTATCTGTGGATGAACGGTGTCCAACTGATCAATCGCCAAGTGGAACCATTTACTTTGATTGACATGGTTCGCCGTGAGCGAAAACTTCTGGGCAGTGTTCTGGACCTTGGGTTCGATGGGATACAAGCTGTATCCTTACTGGGACACACCCAGGTCGCAGAAGCGAAAGCTGCGAATGGGGCGACGAGATATGACTGGACTGATCGACGGGAAAATGGAAAGGCGATCATATGGTTAAACGACATAGAGAACGACGAATTGTATGCTTCATACCCCAGGGGTCTTCAATCGGTAAGTCAAAATCGACAAGGAAACACCATTTGCCTTAGCAAGCACTAACATTAACATGGTCAGTTACTGCAACGCACTTATCCTGGGCAAATTCCACAAGTCAGGGAGAATATTTTCCACCTGATCTTGCCTCTAGATTTGACAAACGCCGCAGATCTAGATACATGTCTTCAAATGATCGGCCTCATTCAGCGCGGTATTCCTATCAGATTTGGACTAGTACCATTGACATCATCCGCCGAGTCCTTGTCTCAGGCCAAGCTGGGCTATTACCTATTGGAAAATTACAGTCTCGATGCTTTCCTCAACTACTTTAAGACAATCCGTGGCGAGTCTATCGCCGGCGCGGACGAGAAGCTGCTTAGCGCGGTAGTTAAGGATGCCAATCTCAAAGCTGGGGCAGCCCCAAAGTCCTGGGCCGAGATTTTTGAAGCCGACGTGTATTCAGAAAATGTGAAAGAAGCTCAGAACTGGTCCAAACGTCTAGGTACCAATTCCGATGCCCGCAGCGTGTTTGTAAATGGCGCTGCAATGTCGCGGGAAAAGAACTGGATGCAAGCAGTGAGCTCAAGGCTGGCTGAAGATCTCCAGGGCCTTCAAATGTCGGTTTACCGAGGATTGATGGATCCTTACGAATGGGCTCCTGATTTCTTCCTTCAAGGCGCAGCATCCGGACGCAACACGTACATCACGCCTGAGGACGCCTCTGCAATTCATATCTTGGATGTGAGCAAGATCTATAGTGACCTGAGTGGATTGTTCGGCAGAGCTCCGGTGATCGAGCATTACGTCGAGTCTACAAAGGATACATGGGCTGTTCTCACCGTTGTTGCTGATTTGACATCGAAGAGCGGTCGTGAACTCCTGCTCTCATCATTGGCGTTTAGGCGTAACAACCCTGGTATCCGCCTTGAAGTCATACATAATCCTGGCACGGGAGTGGATGCATCGCAAATCAATAGCAAGCTCAAGCGAAACGAGGAAACGCTTCTGGATATCGAAACTATTGACAGTCTGACTGCTTTACTTCAGGCAACGGATCTGGAAACGGATGAAAGCTACAATACCCATCTTTCGCAGCTGCTTTCGGCAGCTAATGTTCAACGAGGTTCCCAGTTTCTACTTTTGAATGGTCGTGTCGTGGGGCCTATCGCACCTGACGACTCATTTGATGAGAGTGACTTCCAGCAGTTGGTTGAGTATGAGCAGAGATCTCGGATTCTACCCGTCTATGCGGCCCTAGAAGACCTGGGCCTCAGCGAGAAGCTCTCAGATCCCATCTCAGCGGCCAAGGTCACTTCCGTAACAGCGCTGTCGACAATTTTTGATCTTCCAGAGGGCATTTTTGAGTCTGCGCCAAGTATTAGAACAACCCTCTATGACAAGTGGAGCTCAACACACACTGCCATTGAGGTCGGTAACCCCAAAACAGCCAGCGTTCACATCGCAGGTCTGCTTAATCCCCTCAGTGAGGAAGGTCAAAAGTGGGCTCCAGTCCTGAAGGTTCTTTCAGAGATTGACGGAGTCTATGTGAAACTCTTCCTGAACCCGAAGGAGAAGATCTCAGAGCTTCCAGTTAAGCGCTTCTACCGCTACGTGCTCGAGTCGAGGCCGTCTTTTGACCAGGACGGCAAGGTCAAGTTGCCCAATGCTACATTCAAAGGTCTCCCTTCGGAAGCCCTCCTCACTATCGGAATGGATGTTCCTCCAGCCTGGCTTGTGGCCCCCAAATCCTCGGTCCATGACCTTGATAATATTAAACTCAGCTCTATCAAGAATGACGTTGAAGCTTTATATGAGCTTGAGAACATTCTGATTGAGGGACATTCCCGCGAGGGGCGAGGCTCTCCACCAAAAGGAGCCCAGCTGGTACTCTCGACTGAAAAGGATCCGCTATTGACTGACACAATCATCATGGCCAACCTGGGCTACTTCCAATTTAAAGCCAATCCCGGTTTCTATAACATCCAACTAAAGCAGGGAAGAAGTGCCGAAATTTATACCATCGAGAGTGTTGGTGCTATGGGCCATGAGCCAGTGCCAGGGGATGAAGGCACGCACGTGACGCTGATGGACTTCCAGGGGACTACTCTCTATCCCCGTCTCAAGCGACAGCCAGGCATGGAAAAGGCAGATGTCCTTCGCGAAGATGACGATGATGCCGATGGCTCTATTGTAGCCAAAGGTTTGAAGTTTGCTGGAAGCCTGTTTGGCGGATCCAAAGACAAGGCTCTGTCAACTGAAGCGCATGCTGAGATCAACATCTTCTCCGTTGCCAGCGGCCACCTCTATGAGCGTATGTTGAACATCATGATGGTCTCGGTCATGCGCAACACCAAGCACACCGTCAAGTTTTGGTTCATTGAGCAGTTCCTATCCCCATCATTCAAGGACTTCATCCCGCATCTCGCCAAGGAGTACGGCTTCAAATATGAGATGGTCACTTACAAGTGGCCACATTGGCTCCGACAACAGAAGGAAAAACAACGAGAGATTTGGGGCTACAAGATCCTCTTCCTCGATGTTTTGTTCCCTCTGTCCCTAGACAAGGTTATTTTCGTCGACGCGGACCAAGTTGTTCGCACTGACATGATAGACCTTGTCAACCACGATCTTCAGGGTGCGCCCTACGGCTTCACACCCATGTGTGACTCCCGCACTGAGATGGAAGGCTTCCGCTTCTGGAAGCAGGGCTATTGGGAGAATTTCCTTCGAGGCCGTCCCTACCATATCTCAGCTCTATATGTGGTCGATCTTCGCCGCTTCCGTGAGATGGCTGCCGGTGACCGCCTCCGACAACAATACCACACTCTCTCAGCAGATCCGAACAGTCTATCGAATCTGGATCAGGATCTCCCCAACAACATGCAGTTCCAAATCCCCATTCACAGTCTCCCACAGGAGTGGCTCTGGTGCGAAACCTGGTGCAGTGACGAGAGTCTCAGCCAGGCACGCACTATTGACCTCTGCAATAATCCGGAGACGAAGGAACCAAAGCTTGATCGGGCCAGAAGGCAGGTCCCTGAGTGGACCGTCTACGACGATGAGATTGCAGCCGTGGACCGACGTCGGAGAGCCTCTACGGGACAAGAGGACAGCCAGGCGAATACCAAGAGTGGTCAATCCGGAGACGACAACGCTCACAAGATTGATGAGTTGTAAACCAGGGAATTGTACCATCATATAGTAGGCCATGAAGAAAGTTATCGGTTTCAGATTTGTCTGTTTGTCTATGCCATTTTTGACTATTCGTATATTTCACACATGCAATTTAGAGCTAGAAGTCTCATGGAGAACTACATAGTCTATCGGAATGATTCAAAAGAATTGTGTTTAAAGTTTGTTCTATGCTAAGAAAAGATTCCTACACCGGCTCCATATCTGAAAGCCCCAAAGGCTAGTCCTACTGCCACCATTTAGAAAGTATCTAGAGTTTGACGTCGGCCCTATATCTTAGAAACACACCGGCCCTTATATCGCCTTGATGAAACTTTAAACGATTGAACTAGGTATGCGGATCCAAAGTTACAGCGCGACTATATAGGGGCACCAACCACATATTGTTGAGTCCACCAGGGGGCTCAAGTTGGGGATAGGATAGTGCAAGGGGATGGGATAGTGCAAGGGGATGGGATAGTGCAAGGGGATGGGATAGTGCAAGGGGATGGGATAGTGCAAGAGGAGAAGATACAGAGGAAGAGAAGAACTGCCAAATATACTCTCATTTTAAAACAACCCTAACCCCAACGCGGTGTTTGAATCGTTTATGTACACATCAATCTAAAATCGGCATCTTCTTGTACTCGATGCCTCCGTCCCTGCCATATCTTCACTGACTCCCCAGGCGTCTCCACCACCCTTGAAGGAAAACATGTGCGAGATACTTTCCATCGTAAACCAATATGCATTCCCCATGATATCATAATTTAGTCGGGCTTCCTGAGCCTCCGTGAAAAGATGACAAAAAGTAAGATCTTATGGTATCCCCGTCAGCATGTGCAAAGTGATACTTGGCTATGAACACAACGGTGAATGGGAAACTGTTTCATGAGGCTAATGGATCCTGGTATAATCCCAGCCTTGGTTAGTCACATCTATTGCCATAGAAGTCATGACCAGGTAGTTGGCACTTCCGATGAGGCCTCAAACGTCAGTCATAGAATATAAATATCCTAGTTGTTGTGTATTCTATTCCTAGCGTCCAGAGATTCATGGCCAAGCTGCATTAGCGAGCATAGATTGATCAAGATCGAGAAAAAAATTGGAAGCAAGCGTGTGGCACCCAGGTATGTGTAAAGTGCGATAATGTTCCACGTAAAAGAAAACCGTAACCTCCAAACGCCTCGTGTATGTTGTATGTGATACTGTTCCGTCTAATAAGGATGTAAATTTATTGCCCAATGTATTGGCAAGAGAACCTAACATCTGCTAGGTTCTCGCTATCAAGAGACCTGTCTTGCTGCCTCAGTCACGTAACTGATGGAAAGTTCTCAGGGAAAGCGAAGAAGAAAGTCATGCCATCAGAAATCCGGTGGGTATCATAATGCCGACAGAAACAAGACAAGTAAACCCATAGTTTTCCGGTAACACCGTCGTCAACCGAAGACAAAGAAAGAAAACATTGAGAGGCCCGGGGCCATCTGCTCAAATCTGCAGATTGGACTCGCGTTCTTCTCTAATTGAGGTCATTGCCGTCCCGGGGGTGTTCCCTGATAAGGAGGAATGGCTTGGCGGAGGCATAGTTGTCGAAAGGGGCATGCTACTCCCGGCTGAGGAAGCTCCACTCGGTGTGCTCTGCTCACTGATCGCGGGTACTGATTTACCCGTTGCCCTGTCTCCATCCGGAGCTCGCGGGTTGGGCGTCTCAGCTGACATTTGTTTGTGTAAAGGAGAAGTTTGAAGGGGCGAAGGGGATTTCTTGCTGTTGGACTCGCCGGTCTCCTTAGAGCCACGTGCCGAGTGTCTCGATGAAACACGGCCAACCTGCAGATAAAGTTAGTTAATTCATGTAGTTCCCGCAGGTATCTCAAAACCAACCTGTTTGGCCCAGCGCAGACCACAACTATTGCAGAGATCTCTCTGGCCGCTGGGTCCTCTCCGCCACTCCGGGGTATTCCTGGTATGGCAATTGGCACAGTCTCGGACCACGTTGCCAGCCCCCTTTCTTCTCTTTCGTTTCTTCTTATTCGAGAGCAGCCCGCCGAGCTCTTCTGCGAGAATACGGTTCACCTTCTCCATTTGCCGCAGTTCAAACTGCCAGCTAGAGCACTTTGTCGTCCGAAGCTCGTCAAACATGTTGTCATCAGACGCCAATGCAGCATCTTGGGAACCCGGCATTAAACAGCCACCTGCCGGCTGAGATACGTGGCCAATAGGTGCGGTGGATGCGGCAGGAGTGGCAGGAGCGTAGCCTGGGTCTGATCGAGTTATCAGCCCTGATCTCGCAGTCCCTGTACTGCTAGCTGGAGCAATACTTCGCGATGATGCTTTCATAAGCTTGGTCTGGCCCAAGAGGAATGACGGCTTTTGACCTTCAGAGGCATCTCCGGGGTAGAGCACTGTTTGTGCTTGGAGGACCTGCCCGCGTCGGTTCTGAACTTCGTGTTTGCAATTAACAATTTTACCCCTTCTTGCCTTCTCGATAGCGTATCCAAAGTCTTGTCGTGATTCCTTGCGCATCAGATCTTGTATGCTAGTGCCCACCAATGACTCGGGTTGTAGGTCTAATAATGAACGAATATTGGATGAGACAAAAAGAAACATCCCTGAAGTTGACATCTTCGTCCAAAGTTCGCTGTCTCCGATTCCGCCATGGAGCTCTAGATCTTGCCTGCTCAAAGCAATGACAGGTCTCTTGCGGCCCACTAGAATAATACACTTGCGGCCCTTGCCTTGCTCAACCACCAGAGACCCATGGCTCTCAAACCACGTATATCCACTGTTCTTCCGGCGGATTCGATATACGATGTCAACCGAACCTCCGGGGGGTGCGTCTTTCAGTTCTCGGGTAACAGGAACTATATCGGACGGGTGGCAAACGGTAGACAGCGCGTTCCCGAGCAATTCGTTTGGATCGTATTCAAGAATTCGTTTGCATGCGGGTGAGAGGTATAGGAACAAGCCTTTCAAGGACAAAACATGGATCATATCATCCGTGTTTTCCAGCAGCATCTTATCCCATGATTGTTTATGCCAGTCCGAAACCAGCCCGCTGGGGTTGAACTGTTGTAGAAGAGTAGAGACGTCGTCGAGGCCGAGTGTCTGGCCGTTTTCGTGTTCCATCTGCGCTAGAGAAGGGGGTTGCCAGATGTACTGGCCAATATCAGAATGTTTGTAATTAATCTTCAGACCTCCGAGCTCTTGATTTGATGTGATTGCATCCGGGCACTCGACAAGGTCAATCTGGAAGCCGATGATATATTTGATCTCGGATGTATCCCAAGGGATTGGAATCATTGTCAAGAGGTTAAGGAAAGGTTTCCCGCCCTTGCGATAGTTGATCAAGCTTTGCTGGACTTCACAACCCTCTTGTATCGTCCGTTTAAGGTTATACACTGCTTTGTCGTCAACAAACTCTCGCTTGACACCGGCCTGCACCTTTCCATTTGGAGCCTGCAAGAACCGACAGTTTTGGCCCACAATCTCATGTCGACTGTACCCCGTTAGGTTTTGGAAATTGTCTGAAACATAAACAATCGGGCAGTCATTCATAGTGACATCGCAGACGACAAATGCGCACGACAAATCCACGGCACCAAGGTGAACTTTCGGGTCCTTGCGGGTCGACACAAGCCACAGGGCTTTCATCATATCAAATCCACTTTTCGAATAGGTGTTTTTTCTTAAGCCCGGGGGCGCTGCTGGAGCCACAACTGCGGAAGTGGCCATATCAGAGGATGAATTTGGGTGGGTGATTCCAGCAGAAGATGTGCTCTGTTCCGGGGGGATCATTGAACCGGTAGAGGGTACATTATGTGATAATCCGGTATTGTTACCAAAGTCGCCCAACTGAGGATCAAGGCTCATGTTCACCTGTTGGTTAGTGTGATCCATGGTATTTAAGGACTGAGAAACAGGCATCATGGTGTCCCCAGATTCAGACATGACTCCACCGGTTACATTCGGAGGGGTCATGAATTGACCGTCGACGTTAATATCCAGCGGAAAATCCTGTCTTAATCCGCCGAGCTGGCCAGATGCATACGGGCCGCCCATAGATCCAGAGAACATGTTCACATTATGAGATTCGCCTGGTATGGGGCCCATATTCATATTGGCAAACGTGGACGGGATCATGGAGCCCATCATATCTGGAGAAAGGTTCGAATAATCGGAAGGGTCGGCCATGTAATCGCTCATGCTGCCAGGGAGCGTATCAGGAAGGCCAAGATTGGCAGTATCCAAAGCTGATAGGGGAGTCGTCTGTTGGTTGTACTGATAGTTTCGAATTGCATCGTTCCCACCAAAGTTCAACATATCACCCGTACCAGCCGTTGACATGCGACGAGGGGCCACCTCAGCACCATCGTCGCCAAAAGGCTGCTGTGGCATACTTCGCCGTCGGAGAATAGCGTTCTCGTTCTCACGAACCATGTCGTCGAGGCTATTGCCATTCATCATGGCTTGACCGTCCATCATGTTCGATCCAGCGGTTACAGGGATCTGCATCGAGCTCGGCGGCTGCATCTGGCCTCGGGCTTGGTTATTGTTTTGCTGCTGAGCTTGCTGGTTCGGATGCTGGCCCTGCGGGTGGTTGGGGGTGAAGTAATCCATGGCGGCAGCATCTGGCCGGATGGGCCAGAGCAACAGAAACTAACAACGTAGATGCCAGGATTCCTCAAGTCCACCCGTCAACCAGTTCCCAGGCACAAGAGACCCAGTTGCAAAAACAGCTGGGTAAATCCAGCAGTACGGATCATGTAGCTTGGGCGGCTTGATACGGCGATGCGGTGTGAGCGATATGATTGTTGCAGCGTTCCGAAGATATATTATCCCAGCCAAAATGCGGGTCGTACAAGATGCCAACGAACCGTTCTCGAGGGGTGCGTAATGAAGTCGGGAAGTGAGGAGGTGTTAATCGTCGCCGGGTTGCCGTCTGGGGAAGTGCAGTTGGAAGCAATCAAAAGTACCGCCTAGATAAGCTGGTTATGCGACCGTAGCTCTGCCACCGAGTTGAGGGGTTCGAAATGTAGTCCGATACTAAGGTACAGACCGATCGCTCGCTGAGGTCGGCGGTCAAAATCTCCTCGCTGGCTGGATTCCTTGGCACCGATGGATGATGGGCGGCCGGACGAGATTGTGGACACAAATGCACTGGTGAAAGATCGAGAGTTGAACTTGCCCATGGACGGACGCGACCTCCCACATTTGCTTTTGCGTGGGCTGGTACCTCGCTGCGCTACGTAATGTCTAGGCTGTAGCAAAATATGGGGATGGGAGTTGGACGTGCTTGCTTAGCATGAGATCAGGTACCTGCCGGTACCTTGTCATCTCCAAGGCTGCTAGTGGGGACGGGCAGGAGCCGCCAATTTCACTAATACTCTTGTGGCCCAACTTCGGTACCTCTGGGTAGAAGCGCCATCCGGCCACCGCCGCCCTATGAAATCACAGCAAATCCTCCAGCGGATGCAGCAAATGCAGCCGTGGCTGGCCGACTGATGCTACGTCGTCAGCCTTCGCAAGCAGGATTTCCTGAGAGCTTCTCCTCCTGCTGCCTCTCATGTCTATGTCTGACCACATTCTCCTCGTAACAGCTTCCCGTATGCAGTGCTCGCTCCGCAACAGGCTGCCTTGAACCTGGGGACATAGTGCCAATAGCAAGGCCGGATGAAAAGCTCCGCGCCCCGGCCCTCTAAACAGACGGATCTTCCCCAACCCACCCCATAGCGACTACATTGTTTTTTTCTCATCCATTGTGACTAGGTATCTGAGGCAGGAGATCTCCCGTAGTGCAGTGTAAGAATGACATCTTAGCTTCCAAGAAGCGTCAGACGCACTGTTACACATATTAATAAGTGGCTAAGCTCTACCTGCACTATGCTGTCATCTTCTGCAACATGTTGCACATGTCATTTACCCTACATACCAGAGGGGGGCATTAAAAAGGGCAGGGGAGAGAAAGGAAAAAGAAAAAAAAACAAGGAAAGGAAGCAAAAAGAAGAAAAAAACTCAATAACATCAGGCCTCCTATCAATGTTCCAGGTCTTTCCATTGAGTCAGGCACTGCTTTCAAATGACATGTATCCGCAAGTACCACCTCACATGCCCTTTCAGGCAAGGTATACCCAAGGATTCACCGTCGTACAGAACGGGCCAAAATCAGGCCAGTAGGCTGGCAGCCTGAGGCTGGACGCCATGGACAAAGGATATTTCCGATGTCACGGACATGGTGTTGTTCCGTGGCAATCTACATCCTCTGGGACGGAGCGGGACTACTGGGGGATGGCGTTGGTGAGGGGTAATTCTTGCTTTCCCTTGATGTTCCCCCCCTGTTCCATTTTTAATTGCCCAATTCCACTCCACGGGGCACGACATTTTTTTTCTCCCAAGGAGCGGGAGGCACCGATCCTGGTGCCTGTGCACCGAGGCTCGCATCGAAAATCAGTGCACATCAGCGGCTCATCCCCACCCAAGCCGCAACTATCTTCATCCACAACGGAAACCCAAGATGCTTGCTAGCTTGTCCGCGAAGAAAGAGCCCTGGCCCTGGCCTATCTTGGCGTATCTTCGCCAGCAAGCAAGCCAGAAGACTACAGTGCTCTGCGATTACCTATTCGTTCTTGCTGGCGAGTACAAAGGCGTTTCCTGTTTCCGTTAATACTAGTAGGACTCATGCTTCATTGGCTAATGCAAAACTCTTTATAAAGACTAGAAAACTCCTCAAGTCAATAAGTTGAATAAAAGCTAGTAAACCCGTAAAGATATCCATCATCCATATCCAAACACCCTGGACAAACACACTCGATCACTTGAGACGGAAGAAACAATATAGCACCACTAGTAGATAAATATTTCAACCATTCACTGTGTAAAGTAACATAAAAAAAAGTAAATCGACGCTGCGGTATGTCCAGCTGACGAAAGAATTCCTGCAAGATGCTGCTTAATGCCCAGGGACCCTCAAACTCCTTGCACACCTGTATCAACTCGATTCAATCAGTCTCTTGCCCGACGGTAATCTCCAATAGTAGCTGAAGATGTAGAGCCATGGCTCATCGTCTTACAACGATAAAGCCTCCTGTGAGACGTAGCTCAAGGTCGCCTTAGCCCTGCACTAAAGGCCGCTTCTTGGCATCTTGATAAGAGTAAACCCTAGGTCGGTTAAGCATGTGTCCGATCGCGCTCTCCTACCACACCCTTCCTTCTCCATGAGGTACACCGACATCTATGAGAAGTACCCCATGATTGTTTGTTGAGCTTCCGGTGAAAAGTTCTGCAGCAATGGGGTAGGGTCCACATTAGTAGCCGCGAGTAAGGCCTTGGTAGCTACGGCCACGCGGCTGGCTGTTTGACCTTGTAAAGCCTCGCCTTCGAGGGCCTTGGCAATAAATTCGAATATCTTTGGAGCTTGACCGAAAACAGCTGGGTGTTGCCTGGGGTGGATTTCTATGTCAGTACTATTTCTTCATACAAACATTGTAATAGGCTTGGGCTTACTGGTTGATCAGTTCTACGAGGTAAAGGTATGCGTAGGGAGCTGCCTCCTCGTCGTTGACCACAGGTAGTGTCTCCACCCACTGTGTTGTCACAGACTGAACATCGGCGACATTTCCTGCATTGAAATGGAGAATCTTGGCAATAGCTGCACAAGCATTCTCTGTGGCGTAGACGTTGTCTTCGTCTCTAGCATTGGGGACTTGGGTGGCCTGGAATAGGAACGGCACCGATCCGCCCACAAACTGGGACCAAGAAGCCCCTCCCTTGTGGGCAGCCATGCCGATGCCGTACGCTGCGGCTTGTCGAATAGCTGGTGACGCATTTTGGCAGCCCTCAAGCAGGGGTTTGCTGATGTAGTTCGCATATCGTACACTCTCCGGGCCACAGTACTCGAGCACATCATCCATTATGCAAATAGCCCATTGTTGCTGTGTAGGGTCGGAGGAGTTGAGGAAGCCCTCATACGTTGCCATGAGCTTACCCCAAGCTGGCAGGAAGGCAGCGCCGTGGTGCTTGAAGATGGAGTGGTATGCCTTGTTCATGTCGGAGAGCAGAGTTTGATCGTCTTCAATGGCAATCAAAAGTTCGTCAGCCTCATCTTCGACATCGTCAGCCGTGGCGCCCTCCTTATCTGCTGCCCGCTGGTTGACTCGGTCCTTGTAGTCCTCAAGAGCTGAGTTTGCTGAATCAATGAATTGAGTCATGTGGTTGGGAGTCAGGCAGTCCTTCCCTAGGACCTCGACGGACTCGTAGAAACACTGATACATCTCTGCAAGAGTGTCGATGGCGGGCTCTGCAGGAAGAACCTCGAGAACCTTCTCTACAGTTGCCGACCATAAACCGGCGAGTTCATTCGAGGGGCAGCCGTAGGCCTTCTTGTACGAACTCAGAAGTTGGGGCACCAATTTGGCAGAGGTATATCGAACTTGATCGTGGAAGTAGAATGCAAGACCAGGCAGGGCAACCTTCTCCATCAAGTTGGCAACATAAGGTGCAAACGCACCCTCGAGAACTGAGGCGTAGAGAACAAGAAGCTCGATAGCCATGTGCTTATCCTCCATGGTGCTTGTGCGGATTCCGATCATCTTGCCCTTAAGAGGAACAAGTTCCCAGCCTTCCTCGGATTGAATCTGGTCCACCTGTTCGTCGTCATCCAGCAACTGAATATCGGCCTTGGCAGTTGCCAGCTTGAGCAGAGGAGGAATAACCGTGTCAAGGAATGGAAGAAAATCAGAACCAAGTACGCGGCACATTCGGCCCCAGCAGTGCATCAGATACTGTCCCTGGGGGTCATCAGGCTCCGTGACACTTGCCTGAATATTGGCCAAAATAGTCACGAGAGTCATTGTGTCATTCTGTCCGAGTCTCTCTTTGCCAACAGCCAAGGCAATTAAGGTGGCACATTCCATAGCCTTTGCGCGCAACAGCCTGTTCTCCTTCTCGCCAGGCTGCTGAAGCACATTCAAGAGCAGAGGCATCAAAGTATCGTAATACTTTGAGAATGCTGCCTCGGCCGCATCTGCAATTGTCGCAATAGTAGAGAGAGCTTGCTCTTGTACATATCTCTTATCGCTAGAAAGAAGTTGGAAGAGATGTGAGAGAAGCTCGTCAAGGTATGGCTCCAAAACGGTCTTTTCGGCTTCCTCACAAAAGTTGACCAGGGCAGCAGCGGCATGCGACTTGACTCGGCCCTCAGGAGACCCAAGCACTGGGATGATTGCCTTGAGGACACGGTCGTAGTAGTCGGTCTGCATTGTAGGTGCAAAGTCGGTGCTCATTTGGCCAAGAGCATTGCAGCCAGCCCATCGCACACGAGGATGGGGATCCTGGAGGGCGGGAATCACCAGGTCAAGAACCTGGCTAAGCTCCCCGATCATCAGGCTACGGCAACCCTCGGAAATGGCCGAGATTGCCATAAGGGCTGCGTGTCTATCCCTCCAGGCCATCGAACTCATCATGCGGGGAAGCCAATTGAAAGTAGGTGCAAGTATGGTTTGCCCGCCAAGCTTGGTGGCAAGACGATCCATAGTCTGCTCACCCGCTACGTGGTTCTGATCGTTCTCGTCCTGGTCGAGCTATAATGCCACTTATTAGCACAACATCCAACGGATAGAGTTGTAAAGGAATGGTGCCACCACATACATCGTCAGACTCTAACCATTCTGCAGCATTATCGTCGTCCTCGCCCAGATCAGTCATGAGACTCAAACACTGAGTGATCATATCATTCGTGTAAGAAGAGTCCTTTCGGCACATGGATGGTGCGAAGTCGGCAAATGTAGTCATAAGCTCGAGGGCGCTCTGTCTGCAGACATCGTCCAATTCTTTTTCCTGAATAACGGATATGCTGAACTGCACGAGGTTCGAGAAAAGGGGCTTGAACATTTTGGGTGCTGTCTCCGCAAGTTCCATGAGGGCAATGAGTGCCTGTCTGAGGTGGTCCGAGTCTTGAGAGTCCTTGATCGGAGGAAGGATGTTGAGGACGGACGGTAGCAAATCGTAGTATTTCGAGAACTCCTTCTTCCCAAGCGTCCTGAAGAATGCAGCAAAGGCTTCCATTGCGGCTAGCCGAACCTGAGTAAAATTGTCAGTTGATGAACACGTAAGTGGTGTATGAAACTCAGTTGTCTCATCTCATCCTCCAAGAACATACAAGGACAGCATCGTCGTTGAAGCCCTTTTGGAAGGCCTCAACAATCACGCCAGCATGTTGCTGCTCAATAATGGCCGGCGTCGTGGCGAATACACGGAAAGCCGTCTCGCGCTTCTCAGCCTCGGGGGCTTGGCTCAACTGGAAGAGGGCGCCCAGTAGCTCGGGCCAGTTGCTTGCTAAGGAGGTCAAACATTAACCCACGCCCACATGACCCATTCGACAATCTGTAGTCTCTTGAAGTCGAGCGATATTCACTCACAATTCTCAGTGTATTGTCTAGCCACCTCTGCGACAGCATAGCTAATTTTATTGCGAACGTTTTTGTCGGCTTCGGAGCCGAGTGTCTCGAGGAGTTTTTGGCGGATGGCGATTGCATGGTCGTTGCCGAGAGACATGAACAGATCGATGGTATTTCCGCCATCTGGCTTCACTGATTTGGAGGCAATTCGACGGAAGATAACGGAAGCAAAGGTTCGCGTCTAGTGGTCGGGGGTTAGTGACGCGTCGACAGAGGATAAGCAGCTGATTTTCAGTTGACGCATACCGTGATGTCTCCGGCAGCCTGGATCTGTTCAGCAAGGCCCATTAGAAGGACTTCGGGTCTGGTATTCGTCCAGTTATTCTGAAGGTGCTCCTCCGCCTGGGAGCGAATGCCATTTTCAGGTGACTGTAAGGCTTGCAAAAGCTGGCTCAGCTCCGCATGAATTTCAGGCGAAAGGATGGACATGGCTGCGGCGGCCGTCCAGGAGTTGCTGGACGACAGAGCACAAATTATATGTAATCAAGGAGCGACTCGCGAATGTTGCCGGGAGAAAAGCTGGCGGGTGCAGCAGGCTGGGTTGTGTCGCTCTCGTGGGCGTCGTTTCGTTGAGGGAGGTCAGGAGGTGGGGGAGGGGAAGCCTGGCCCACGGACTGCACAGCCAAGCAAGACAGATTCTCGGGTTCACACCAGGCGTAGGGCTCAGCCAATGTCAGCCCAGACAAAAATGGAGGGAGATTAGGGGTGAGCCAGGCCGAAGGCAGACAGAGGCAAGGAAAAGTATGATCAGGTTGAATATTCTACCGGGCACTGGCCGTGGTGGTGTTTTGATTGTATTTTTTTTATTGGGTAGAACTTTTTTTTTTGGGTGTGGTTGAGCTCTGGTTCCCCGTCTTTATCCACTAATCGCCAATCAACCCCTCCCTTGTCTTGGCATATGAATATTTGCATAGTACTAAAGTAGGACTAGCGGGAGCCTGGCCGACTTAATTCCCAGGTGATTATTAGGCTCTTCGGTACTCGATGCCAACAGTTCCAAGGCGGACGAGGCAGACAGCTACGAATAATAGGCGGTAGAAAGTGCATATAGTCTTGCGCCCCAAACTTTGCCTTGGTAGGCCAACGGCAGGGCTGATGTCCTGGTTTTCCTCAGCCCTTCTTGCTGTGAACTGAACCTCAAGAGTGGATCGGAGCCAATGGGTTTCCACTTCCCATAGGCCGGCCACCAGAAAACAACAGTGACATAGCATGGATGTGGAGGTTGCCGTGCGACTTGTTTATTTGTGAGGCGTCCCAAATTGCATGTGCTATGCGATGCCTCAAGAAGGGGCAGCATCGCACCAGCAGGCACTCCTATCAGGGAATTCGCAAGGCGCAGTTGTTCCCTGTCTCCTGTCTGATTGGCGGTTGCCCCAGTACTGTTGCTGGTACCTTCTCTACCGCCTGCACTGTACCTACCGCCAAGTACTAACACGCAGGGTACTAACAGGCTCGGTCCCGCGCTCACTGCTGAGTGCGGGGCTCTCGTCCAGTGACGTGACGTGACCCCTCTCCAGCCGTTGAGGGCAACTTGGAAACCATTCAACCCGTTGATATGTTCACTCCGTGAGACACAGGTAAGATACTGGGCAAGTAATGTTTGGCTCCCAAAACACCTGAGCCGTTTTGAAAGCTACATCCGACATATCGCTTCCATCCCTAGCACTCGGTTCCTATTTTGATCGGTTTCGCACCCACCCAAACGGGGCAGTCTGCAGCCTGCAGCCTGCATCAACCCCACCGCCGTTTCTACCACGACCTGGCAAGCAAGACTGACAAGCTTCAGAGGCACATGATCCCCTTATTTAAAGGTGCGGTAAGCGAGACTCTTTGATGGTCCTAGCGTGGCGATTCGTCCCTAGCCGCCGATTGCGATCTCTGCTCTGCGAAGACATACCGAGCCTCCCCATCTTATCTCATCTCCATCCTGTGCCGCGCGCATCTCGTATAAATCGAGCAATTCCCTCCCCCGCCGCCAGATATCCCCATTTGCGGCTTGTGCCATCTTCACCCCGGATTGGATTCAGCAGTGCACGCTAGCTGCACTCGCTGGCATGACTTCTCCCCAACCGCAAACCACCGGGTCGCTCGACGCCAAAGAGCCCGGCGATAGACCTGCGCGGTCCTCCAGCGTCGCCAGCGGCAAGTCCTCCACATCCACCGGCGAGCCGCCACAAAGGTCACCGTCCGTCTCCAGCATCAATCGAGCGAGTCACAGACAGAGCTTTGTAGAGGGTCTACGAAATATCCCCGCGTCTCCACGGCAGCGACATCCATCTCTCACTCACGCCGCTGTCCAGGAGCTCCTCAACAACCCCCCTGCAGGCAATCGGTTTCACAACCCAAAATTCGCCAATCGCGAATGGCGCAACATTCAAGTCGGAGAGCTGGTCTCCCCTAGCGATGTGAAATGGATCGAGTTGGATAGTACCGTCGAAGATGCGACAATGGTCAGTGGGAACTGAGCGAGGATGACAATTGTGAACGGGTTTGCTGACAAGTGCAATCTAGCTATTGCTCAAGAGCCAGCCCAGTGTGGTGCTCATTCGAGAAGATGCTGATTCTAAAACAGCGGTTTCGACATTTGATTTTAAGGATCTCAATGCCTATCTCCTCGTTGTCGTCGGTCTCGCTAGACCTGAAGGAGACCAGGTCGAGGCGTCAAATACGGTTGTCAATAAGGCCAGGAGAGGCGAGCCGATAACGCTGCGGGAGATACAACCTCTGTGTCGAAAGGATCCATTAGTCACACTCTCGGCACCTAGTCTACTATCTCAAGCTATTGAAATCCTTGGGAGCGGTGTCCACCGTTTACTTATCACGAATGAGGGCGACGAGGTTATAGGAATACTAAGTCAGGTTCGCACATTGGAGTTCTTCTGGAATGAGGGCGTTAACTTCCCGACGATCGATCAACTCTACCCCGTTGTCATTCGCGACTTGAATATCGGTACAAAGGACGCTATATCTGTGAAGTATGTATGATGACACAAGCGCGTGCATGGTAGCAAAGCAAATTTGACGATGAGCTGACCCATTATGAATTATAGCTCTGACGCGCCACTCTCCGAAGCACTCACTCTGATGAACGACGAAGGTCTGACGAGCGTCGCCGTGGTCGATAACGGCCATAATGTCGTGGGCAACATTTCAACCAAGGATGTCCGGCACTTGACCAACTCTTCCAGCGCACCGCTGTTGAGCCAGTCTTGCATGCATTTCGTTTCTGTTATTCTGAATGAGAGGGGAGTCGAAAATGGACGTGATGCTTTCCCTGTCTTCTATGTTAACCCATATTCGACTCTTGCTCACACAGTTGCCAAGCTCGTGGCCACGAGATCGCACCGCATGTGGGTTGTAGAATCGGCTTCGCCCTCGCCATCGGCGCCAGCAACTCCCTTGATGGGTCCGTCGAGTTTCACGCAAGGTCCGCCCCCACCAACGCCGCCCTCGCCGCAGCCAGCTGCTGCTGTCCCTGCGTCGGCAATGATGGGCGCTGGTTTGTCCGGGAGATTAAGCGGTGTCGTTTCTTTGACAGACGTGCTGAATACGTTTGCCAAGTCCACCGGGCTGAACCCATCGGATCCGGGGGCGCAGCGAGCGCGCCGTCGAAAGAGCTCAAGCAGCTCAGTGCGAGCCAGCATCGACTCTCTTCGAACCGGTAGCATAGATATTCGGAGGTGAAGAAGGATGGACATACTCTTTATACATCGATTCTGTCAACAACGCACAGATGTGTAGTTTGCCTATAAATTCGACGAGTATCTGAAGAATACGACACTCTTCAGAAATGCGAAGAAAAAAAATTGAACGTCAAATGATCAGTGTCGGCGTTCCCTTAGGGCTAGCCTGTATCTGCAGAATAAGGATTGTATTGCAATTTGGAAGATTCTCAGTTCTTCTCCCAAACATTGACATACAGTGTACCTGTTGCTTAACAAGACCTTCAAATATGCGGTTTGCCTTAAATAAGAGAGCATCCGTGTCTAATTTAGACCTACCCAGGCATGGCTGAAATGTAGAATCCGGTACTCCCAACCAGGTGACAAGAGGTGAGACATCAAATGTTTCTTTCTGGGATGAGTATAATGAAGCGGTAGTACAACATGGTACCTATCAATTAAGCATAGGTATCTACATAGTGTATTGTCTCCCTGGGCACCTATAACACCCACTCTGGCCCCTGGTCCCTCGATCTCATCTAGCATCCAGTGGCAGCAGGTAAGGGACTGTCTGGATCATTAGTGAGCCACCAGGCTACCGGAATGGGAGGGTTTGCCACCCAAGAGTCTCGATTAGACAGCCGACCACTAACGAATAGCGAGGCAAATACACAGCCAGTTAGTGCTCATCGGCCCATAGAGGGGATGTCATTGAAGATGCTTTTTCAACCTCCAGAACAATAAAGAACAGATGTCAAGTTAATGGCAGAATGAGTATCTTATTAGGTAGGCATTCTTGAGGTTATATTGCTCAACAACAATCACATCCATGACTCTGCTTGAGAGCACCAGCTGAGTGCATCGCCACTGTCCCCCGCTGGAACTGCCCTACGATTGGGGTCTGGCCTCTATTTTAGGCCCCTCCGCCCCTCCATCAATGGCGGCTCCACTCGGATCCATTTGAGTCACTCGCCCAAGACTCGAGCTTCACTGGGCGCTTCTTTGTTTCATAAACCATCCCGACGTCCCGCCATCGAGCCGTCATTCATCTTCCTTTCCATCTAACTGACTGCCTTTGCTTCCAGCGCCGTATTTCAATTATCTCTACGCATTGCCTGCTTTCCCACACCCAGACACTCTGCCCCAGCGTTTGCTTAGATCTCCTCTTCCGCTATAAAGCCAACCTTACCGCCTCCCGGATCCTTCCATTGCAGGAGCCGCCATCGATCATTGTCTATCAGGCATTTGCAGCCCAAAGGGTTCCACCTGGCCAGCAAACACGCATCCACGCGCTCACACATCACTGGAAGCTACTATAATAGGAACGGGCCGCTAGTTGGTTGCTGTATCCTATCTTCCTGCTCATCCATTTGCCATCTGGAACGACCCTGGTCACTCTGTTGGCTTATTCGACATTTCATTCCCCAACCTATCCGGTCCTGTCTTGCATCATACCCTCGGCCCATCAGGCTCTTATCGGGCTCTTCAGCTAGGTAGTAAGTGTGAGAGCGCCTACTATTAAGCCCTCACCTTAACTTCATCATCGCCACCAAGGAAGCGGCCTTAATGGACTTTCCGGCTCCTCAGTTATCAACACAACCATCACGAAGCCACCATGGACGACAAAGATCCAACACGCTCTCCGAGGCACTATGCTACTCCCCCCAGGACCCGGAACTTTAGCCCTCCGGCGAGGCAATCGGCGAGTAGCAAGACGCCCAAACTAGGCGATTTTTCGAGGATCGGGCCGTCACTCATCTCGCCTACTTCATCACCTCGCCCACATGCATCTGATGATAAGACTCTTTCCCCTCGTTCCCATTCGGCATTTCCCTCTCCTCAAAGGACCAGGCGAGCCAGCCAATCAGTCTTCTCACGAGACCAGCCAACTTCGCTAGGCAATTTCTCCAAGCTCCTAGCTGTTCTCCAGTCGCCGTCACGACCTACGTCTGCCCCTAAGAATGTCTCAATAGCTGTTCCCGATGTCGGTGAACCGAAACCATCAGCAGATACTACGCCCAGAATTACGATCTTGAAAAGAGGCGCAGCCGGCCCGAGTGATCAGGCCAACCCTGCCTCTGGTCTCCCACCTTCCCATTCACCAAATGTGGTGGCGGCCGTTGATGTCAAGGCCGACGATCTCGTTGCGTTGCCGGCCTTATCTCCCAAGGCCGAATTATCTTCTTCTCCATCTGAATTTGAGAGCACTTCTGAGTCGGAAGCCTCCGATTACGATGGCACTTCGGCTACAAGCCTCGCTAGCTCTCCCACTCAGCATCTTACGCCACAGAGGAAGGCATCCGTCTCTGACACTTGGAACTCTCTCAACAAAAAGACGGTGACGATCGTATCTCCCCCTCAGCAGCAGTTCTCGGCTATCAACATCCCCTTCACCATCAACACCCCCTTCGCCAGGAACATCACGACTCCTCCGACCGTCTTCCTCACCGACACGCGCACCAAAGCTCAGAAACACCAGAGCCTCTCAGTGAAGCTCGCCCGTCATTTTGTTAACGACTCGCTCACACAGTCGCAGTATCGCACTGCCGATAACGCCGTCCACGTTTTCCTAGACCATTCCAACATCAACATCAGCTTCCGCCGCGCCCTCCAGACTAAGTTCGCAAACGGCGACTTCAGCGCCCGTTTCAACCCTTCCCCAGAGTTCAATCTCGAATTCTTCTCCGAGATCCTCCTGCGCGGCCGCCAGGTCCGCATCCTCAACGCAGGCTGCTCCACCCGGCCTGACCACCCCCAGCCAACATTTGTCGACGAGCTCCGTCGTCTCGGCTACCACGTCGACGTCCGCGAGCGAAAGCCCGTCGTCGGCGATCCCAAGCCCCACAACAGGACACACGCGTCGTCCAAGCATCCGCGGAAGCGGAAGACGGCCGGCGCACCCCACGACGACACCCGATACGTCGAAGACCTGGTTGACGAGACCCTGCAGACGCGCATCGGCGAGTCCGTCATGGAGTTCTTCCAGGACCAGGGAACCCTCGTCCTCGCAACAGGCGACGGCAAGCCGGCCAAGTACTCGGACGGCTTCTTCGCCTACGCCGACAGGGCCCTCCGCATGGGCTGGAACGTCGAGCTCGTGTCCTGGAACCTCGGGCTGTCCTCCTCTTGGTTAGACCCGAAGTGGACGGGGAGATGGGGGCCGCGCTTCCGCATCATCCAGCTGGATGAGTTCCTCGACGACCTCTGGGTGCCTGCGACCTGAGAAATGGCGCAGGACGCCCTTATTTTAGGTCTTGTTTGTGGACGCCAGCTGTGTACATATGATGCCATTTGTACCTCATATTTTCATGATTCAACTTATGACGGCTTTTTATTCATTCTGTCGCACTGGAAGTTTTTTTGATATATACATGACGACGTTTCATACGACATATTACATATATTTTGTTTTATTTATGTTTATTCCCTTTTTTAGCAAGGGATGTGGTACATCTACAATGGAGGTCGGAATTAGCTAGGAAGGACAACTCGGAAGGACAGCTAGGAAACCAAGCCTACGGCTCAACGGCGGATTGGAACAATTTACAATTCTTACACATAGTGGCATATATACTGAGGAATTTACTTTTTTTAAAATCCAGTACATTGAATAGCTACTTTTACTCAATGAAACTTTCTACGACTATGGCTTGCTGTCTTTCATCATTTAATGACTATGACGACCTGTTGATCCTGTTCCCCGGAACCCTGGACCATACCAGTATCAAGCTTCATCTTCATCCTGAGAACTCTGTCCACGATACTAAAAAAAAATTCATGTAATGCAAGAATGACCAAATGAGTGCTGGCCTCGGTGTTTCCTTGGCCCAGCCATTTAGTGTAGAGAATAGAAAGACCTTGCCTCCCGTGCAAGGTTTCAAATAATCATAACAAACAAAGGAAAGTTGTCGATAATGCCAAGACTGATATATGAGGTAAATCTCAATAAGTTGGCAGTTCAACTCAAGGGACAAGAGAAATCTCTTAGATGTAACGATCGGACTTGGAAATGGCACCGCCAATACCATAGAACTGCTCTGCGTTGAAGGTGTCCATCGATTTCGTCTTCCAGAGATCATTGAAAGCCGAGAAGAGAACGACATCTCCGGGGGTTTTGGAGAAGGCCTTCTTGATGGATTCAATAGCTAGTTTCTGGTTCGCCAGACTAGGAACTGCCAGACCATTGGGAGAGCCATCCATTGGCCAACCAGTCTCGGTAACCACCACGTTCATCGGCTTGGAGAGGGCCAACTTGACTCGCTGGACGGTGTCATCCAACCACTTTCCGGCGTAGGCCGCGCTAGTAGTGCTGTCAAAGAAGGCATGGGCATTGATAGCGCAAAAGTCGGAAGCCTCACAGAGCTCGGGGTGCTTCTCAACGGCGTTGAAGGTATCGACAGTGACAACAGGGCCCTTGAAGCCTGCTCCACGGAGCATGCTGCGAGCCTTCTTAACGGCACCGATGACCTTCTGTGGGGTGGCTTCTCCCTTGTTGACAACCTCGTTGCCCACGCTCACGGCTTGGATCTTATCCCAGCCGCCTTCCACGCCTGCAATGATTTTCGACACCTCGTTCTCCACATCATTGATGTCCCAAACGCCCAACATCAGCTTGGTCTTGGTATTCTTGGCTGCCTTGTACGTCTTGGAGACTTGGTCACAGTCCGTTCCGTAGATGCGAATCACGGCATAGTCCTTCAGCTGGTCAAAGTCGTTCTGGACATCACGGGCGTCCTTGCAACCGTGGTCTCCACGGTATGGGGCATAGGAGATGCCGAACTTGTCGGCCTTGACAGGTGCGGTTGAGGTAGGCGCGGCGGATCCAGGAATCCCAAGAGCCTCCAAGATCTTTGCGTCGGCGTCGTCGCTGGGCACGCTGACAGAGCGAGGAGCAGTGGGGAGGACCACAATGGTCTTGGTGTCGGTAGACACAGGAGCGCCGCCTTGAAGATAGGCAACCTCGGCAGCAACAGTGGTGGGTGCAGCGAGGGAATCATCATACGCGGTGATCTCTTCCCGGCG